GGGGCGGACGGGGTCGCGGGGTGACGGCCGCGGCGCCTTTGGTGTGTGCCGCGCCCGGTCCGGCCCTCCCCTCCCTCACTTCATTCATTAGTATGCCTGTAAGGGCCGTTTCGCAACTGATAGTGGCCAACGCCCGCAGCACCCGGCCCGCGCACAGGCGGTGTTCGCTCGTTCACCGTCGCGACAGCAGCCTCCTCGCGGCGCACCGCGGACGCACGGTGCCCGTCAAGCAGACGACGTGGTCCTGACGGTCGCGCCCAGAGCAGCAGCAGCAGCCCTGACGGACCGTCGCGCTCGATAGACTGGGACGGCAGCCAATCAGCGCCGGCGATAACATAGATGGCCCGCTAATCGCACACAGCGCCAGCGGCACGCAATGCAGAGGCAGCTTTTGTCGCTTTAAATCGCCGGCCGGCATCAGTCGAGGCTGGCGAGGCGCGCCCCCGACGGCGCCAACACAACACACACTCTTCTGACAAAGGCCGCTGAAAGGTACCGCGCGACCGGAGCAAAAGCCGACAGATAAAACGCACGGAAATATATATAACGGGGGGTTATCTGGTGCCAATGACCTCTTGCGGGCGCCTCTGCCATTCCCCAGCAGCCTCCCTCATTCATCAATGCCATGCATGCTGTCACCAGTCCGGGGTGTACTCGGGGGGTCCTTTACTATGATTACAAAGCGTACAAGGATTTGCTTAATTTTTAATGATTTTTTAAAATTAGTTTTTCCACATTCAACTGATTTTTTAAAATTATTATAACTCATTTACCTGATTTCTTAAAATTATTTTTCCTGATTTCTTTTGATTTTTCATGTTTTTTTCTTATTATTTTTTTCCTGATCAAGAGACTACTGTAGTCTCTTGTCCTGATTTTTGGGGGTGTGTACACTGATTTATGGGGGGTGTACTCACTGTGCAGCGGGGTGGTAATCCAGTCCGGGGAGAGGGCGCCGCCACCACTCCCAATGGGGTTGGTCCACCCCAGGCATTTCCTCGCCGCCGACGTAATTTTAGTTGAACGACGAGAGCACTCCCTAAACACTTCGCGCACTTCAAGCCGGCCGGCGGGCAGCCTGACGACGCGCTCGACGACGGCCTCCAGCGAGTGCGGGATGCGGGACGATCCTGCGCTAGCTGATGAGGAACGTGTCAGAGTCCGCGCAGCAGGGCGCGAGTTTTACTCTCGTTTCAGAACGCCGCTGCTTCTTCGGAGGAGCAGAGGATTCGTAGGTGGGACATCTGACATAACCCTCGACGCGACTCGCTAAATGTCCTCTTGAATAATTCGGAGTGCGGTTTCAACGTGTCCTAGAGTGCGGCACGCGCCCGGACGTGGTGACGGTGGTGAGCCTCCTGCTCTTGCCCGGCCAACGGCACCCGTGACATGCTCTCGCTCGGATCGTCTCGTCTCGCGAACGCGAGTTCACGCACGACACACGTCGACGGCAGCGGAGCCGCGAACGAAACCTTGTCGTGAGTGCGGTCGGGTCCGGGTCGGTCGCGTCGGGCCCAACCTCTGGCGTCGGCTTCCTTCCCTCACCGCGAGCTGCCAGGCTGCTCCGCCGCCGAGAAGCCGGCAACTGACCGCCAGAATGGGAAGCACCGGCAGGGGCGCGCCGCGCCACGCCAGCCGGCGAACCGAACAGGCGTCAACTCCCCTCCCATCCGCCCTTCCCCTCCTTCCCGCGTCCCGCTGTGCCCCCCGCCCAGCCCTGCCCCA